CATGGTCGACGAATCTCTCCCTTTTTTTCTGCGCCTACTTGCAGAAAAGAATCCAGAAGAGAATGTCCGAAACAGGGGGAATGAGTCATAACTCGCAATAAGGAAAAACAAAAAAAAGTTTTTTCCCCCTTTTCACGCATTATCACTGCCCTTGGAGAAAGAAAGGAAACGTTTTCACCACACACACTGACCTTGCGTTTTCTGCTTTCAAAGCAACCAAAATTACCCAGATCAAAATAAACAATTCATTATTATTCCTACTTCCTTTTGAACGACGATCCCCGGAATTTCCGGTGTTTCCCCGGAGCACAAACACTCCTGATATACACACAGAAAGACTATTTTTGTACTGTAATAATCATTTTCTCTGAAATACGCATATTTGCAACAATAACTAGCCAAACCATGGAGGTAAGAAAGAAAGGAGGGGCCAACCCCGCACTGCGAGTGAAGCACTGCTCCGAGGGCTTTGGTCTCCAGATGGAGTGTTTTTTGTTTACATTTAGAACCTCCCTTGACAGCGCACTAATAGTATTTCGACACACGATACTTCCATACAAATCGAAAAACGGGACACTTCCGCATAAAAGAAACATTCATTGTGTGATGGATAATAGCAATTTGTATAGTTATGCTTATACAAAATGTTATTTTAAAGAAGATTTTAGCAAAAATGTTACGTTTAAAGAATGAAAAATACCTTATGGCACCTTTAAAATTATATGTCTTTCGATACCCTTGATTATGCACTCGTAAAAAAAAAAAATAATCTTTAGTTATAAACAATAGATTACATAAGTTAGGACAATAGATGAGCTGATTAATTACGAAACTAACTTTCATTAGCTATACATAACAACAATATGGGCTACTGCTGAAAGGAAAAGGTTAGTAGTTTTAATTTGCTAAAACTTCGCTTACAGCTTGCAGATGTACTTGGAAGCATAGAGTAAATCCGCAGGGCAATACAAATATTGTGAAAGGCATCCTGAAAATCATAGGTGTAGATCTGTTGCAAGAGATAAAATGCTCTAGCCTTTTTTATGTCGACGAATAACACTGGGGCTTGTTCTTTAAAAACGGAAGGTTCCTGACAAAACTCAAATGCGGTTAAAGATCTTGCTCATATTTTCGTGCAAGATCTGCTCCATTCTCTTGCAGTTCTTCAGTTGACATATTCAATATTTCACGCCCATTGAGAAATGGAAATTTGAATTTAGTGTAATAGACCTATTTACCCTCGTTTTAATTTCTGATAAGATTCGATGAAATACAATTTTCGTTGCATTAGAAAGTAGCTGAACACGAGGAAGTGTTTGTGATTCGTCCTCGCACAATTCATTAAATTCTTTTTGCGTTTTAGAATTTGTTTATTTGTCAGAATAGGTTCAATTTTTTTCGGCAGCCGCTTTAAATTCCTCTATCCAATATTCCGTAGGAATTTCTCTCATTTTTTGAAAAGTTTTGGTCAGACATTCCATTAATGTGACGGAACGCGCAAGAATAATATCTTCCATTCGAATTTCAGTATTTATTCGATTGATTTCTCGAAGAATATTAACTCAAATTGTCAGGCTGATAATAAATTCAAAATTTTTTACAACATGTAGCAGATGTCCTAATTCGTACTTAGATAGATAATTAATTTTGAAATAGTAATATAGTACTTTGAAGGATAATTAATTTCTTTCAAGGATTTTACTACTTCTGGTAAATTCGTTAGAAGGGCTTTGATAGCCACATTTTTTGACGATCATCTCATCTGGCTGCTGCCTTTTGAGTTGGTTTTTGGACATCTTTTCGCAATATCCCATCGAATAGTGAATCCGACAAAGAAGCTAAATATCTTATGGATAATTCCAAAGAAGTTAACTGCTTCGGGGCAAGATGAGGCAGAAAGCACACAGACAAGATTCAAAGAGTAAGCCAAACATCGCACATATTCATTTCTGTAATCCTAGTTTGTACTTCAGGATCTAATATAATATGGCCGGTAAGTAACGGCCATGTTAGATCCGTTATCCTCAAATTGACCACGACACTGTCAATATCCAAACCATCAAGTGTCAATTTTTCCACAATCCGTTGAGAAATGCATTCTCCTGTCTTGCCACCAATTTCTATGAAATCAACAATGCTCTCCTTTATTTCACACACATCACCACATATTTTTTACGTATTGAATCACCTGGCTCATTTGTTCTTTATGCGACACATCTGGAATGCAATTGAACATTATTGTATAACATTTGGCTTCTTTAATATCATTTAAAATGCTATTGCAAACTGTTTTCGGCATTAGATCAGTAACTTCATTTTGAATTATCTTTGTTTAATATGACACTTGTTCCTTCTTTAGGTATTCTAACTGGTACTTAAAGAGTTATGTTTGGGTAGCAGAGTCATTAAATTGAAAAAAAATTGCCTTAACTAGGCCAAGGACACTTTGTGAGCAGACTGCCAGGGAAACAATGTAAAGAACCCAACGTAAAGAAAGACAGTTTGTTGAAAGATACAATACAGCATCCGTACTCACTTGTAGGATCTTTTTTTTTATTTTTCTTTCTCTGTGTGAATTAGTCTCTTAATGCGATGATGCCTTCACACTATTTTATTTGTTGCAGTGGAATTTTGCACTTAATCATGCACTCTCTGTGGGATTTCAAATATTTCGTGCTTAGTTAACCTTTCTGAAGCTTTTTTCCAATTAGTGAATCATGTAGTTCACAATGCTGATGTAATGGCAGTGGCATGTTTCTGATAAATCTCACAGGGTGTACAAAAATTGTATTTTTAGTTTTAGAATATATAATCCAAGATCTTTTAAGCCTTTCATTATCTGCTAATGTTCTGTGCCACAATGAAGATGTCAAATGTCATCACGTTCAGTGTATCTAAGGTTTACGTTGTCCGAATATTTTTCGGCTAATAATACAGCTTGACTGTAAGAAAGATCGTTCATTTTATCTGTGTTTGGCCAATTACCTGGGTCCGACAAATCAAAAGATTTTAAGTCTTCATTCTGCTGCCCACACTCACCTAAATGAGAAAATACTTTATATCCTAATTTCATGCGCTCTAGATGTTAGTTTGGGGTCTATGAAGAAAATTTTTCTCTCAGTTGCTGAAATGAAGTCTGTTTGAGGATGATAGATTCTTCATCTTGGTCATGCAAATTGCAAGAAATATCAATATCGTTTAGAATCTCGGCACCATCGGAAGTTGCGGCAGGGTCTGACGGTTTGTCTTTTCCGTGAAGCCATTTTTCATTTTAGCTGCAATTTGTTTTCTCTGTTCGGTCCTATCTTTTACTCTGGTTCTATATTCTGACCCTGAGAGTTTTTTTCCTAGACCCTCTCATGATTTCTTGCACCCTAAATAATATACAGTATAACTTGCCTTAATAATAGCTAAAAATTGACGTAATTACATTCAACAGTATTAGGGCCGCGTCGTGAACGCGCGCGCTAAGTGGTTGCGTCTCACTAAATATAGTGAGGAATACTAGAACAGGCATACTAAAAAAAAAAAAAAAAAAAAATAAATAAAAAAAAAATCCTTTTTTAAAACCTAGGTTGCCGACTGGCTGCAAAAAACCAAAATGCCTTACTTCATTTCTGTTGTATATTCTCGACATACATTAATTTGAATTATTTCATTGGTCCAAGGTTAATTTGTATTGGGTGTTAAGAAAGAGTTACAATTTACATTGCTTCTCCATTTATTTCGCAAGAGGCGTTGGTATAAAACTATGCTATTGTTCTGTTTTTCATTTGAATATTCCCGCCAGACGAGAGGACAACAGAAGGACTCTAGGTAAATATATATAGATTCTTTGCTTTAGGCGTCACTTTCAGGGACCAAAGACCATGGCATTTACGTTTTTGGCTGTACTTAGCTTACTTTTAAAACTGTTTGCTCCATTAAAAGGTTACGAGTAATTAATTATAAATATTCTTAAAAGAGGTTTTAAACCTGTCTTTAAAACTACTAGTGTTGCATGAAAATTTGACAACATTCCAAATACAATTCAGCGCTACTCTTGAGCTTGCCCCCCCCTAGATCCGGGACTGTTCTGCGTCCCTATTTCGTTTTCCTTAGCACTATAAGAATTGAAACAGAGACAATTTCTGTCTTACAAAATTTTTCCTCGTTAATGTCATCGTGATTATGATTTAGTTGATATTCTCATTTCAAGATAAAAAAATTCGACCATATAAAAAAAGATATAACAAGAGTACGTAGCTTTTGAAATATAGTATTGACTCCTTTGAATACTTTAAAAATGTTCTTCCCCCCTCAATTTTATTCAGCATGGCAATTTAGAATTTCGTTATTTTTTAGCTACATTAATGATCCACATGACTAACCCATATTACTCTGCAAGTTGTGTAGAAGCTTCAGCTTCAAAACAACCAGAGAAATTAATTTGTTTGAGCATTAGTTCAGTTTGGAGGATGGAGATTTCCCGATTTATCTAGCAGTAACTCTTAACAGTATTTCCGGATTCACCCCCCTTTTCAAAAGGTTGTTATTGGGAGAAAATATGCGAGTTACAAAACAAACGCAATGACAATCTAATCGTTGTTGTTCCTACGATGTAATTTTCAAACGATGCAGAGATGTGATATGCAATTATATTTTCAATCACATGATTATTCAAACTAGCCTTTTGTTATTTTCATGTATATGATTTAACCATGATCATGAAGTTAAAATGAAACCTGAATTTACCGAAACCAAACGTTGTCAATTAGTAGTAATTATCTATACAGAACGTACATATTTTGTTCAACTATAATTAGCATTATGCTATAAAATAATATTCTACTTACATTAAGTCAAAAGATTTTCAATAGAATCTCTAATATTTAGATTGCTTTTTTATGTGTAATAAAACTTTAAAAGTGCTTTGCTGAATATAGCTAGATCTATGGCTGCAAAGTGCTAAATTTGTAAGAAACTGTTATTCCACTGATGACTTCTTTTCTTATCATTAGAGCCAATGGGTGAAAGAAGAGGGTTATGGTGGCATCATGATCTTCAACCTGAATAATGATGACTGGAAAGGCAACTGTGATAATTCAACCAAATTCCCTCTCACTGCAGCAGTTAAAAAAATGCTTATGTGATTTAATTTTTTATATATAAGAACCAAACATATTTTACTCCACATATAAAACATGAACTTTTCATTATACCAAAGCATATTTATTATATTTATTCAGGAGAAAAAAGCATGTTTGTACAGTAAGATGTTTTAACTGAGTAATTTGATTAAGATATGAAATCAAATTATTGAAAAGCTTCACTGTTTCATTAATTTAATATTTATTCACTTTAAATAAATGTTCACTTTTTGATAAATCTATTATGGCATATGTGAATTTATGGTCTGAAGCTCAAATTATTGCATTTTTTTTCCTTTTGTAAAATAATAAGGAAACCTCAATTCCTGAATTTAATTTGTTCCACAACTGAAAAGATTTCCTCCATAGGAATTAATGCAAAATAGATTAATCCCTTCTAGGACTACAGACGGGTGTACTCCAACTGCGCTAATGAAAATCACCCCAGGGTCGAGCTATAGTCCAACTGCGCCAATCAGAATTTCTTCCCCCTG